GAGAGTTTTGTGTGTGATAAAACTACTACTTGGGGCAATTTTACTCTTTTACTGAATCAAGGATCCCTTAATATTTGGTCTTGAGAGTCATGAGCACTCTTAAAATAAATATCATGTGCATGTCTACATGAATGAAGACATGATTAAAATTCACTTTATTTGATATTTTTTCATACATAGATGATAAACCAAAACGGTGAGTAATAAAACAAAACAAAGAGATAGAATTAAATCAGATTATATATAAAAATGACTTTAACTTAATCAATGAAAAATTCCTTGAATAATAGAGAAGTATATTATTTGATGATAATTACTGTACCGTAATCATGGTCAAAGGTTAGCTCTATACTGAGGTGGTTTAAGGCCGTTGATATATTAAACAAAAGCATAATATAATTTATATTGACAATAGTACCCAAGGGTATCTTCAGCTCAGTAGTCGGTGCTTCAGTACTGATATGGATTTATATTGACAATAGTACCCGTGGGTATCTTCAGCTCAGTAGTCGTTACTGATATCGATTATAACATACTTATGCAATTAAATTCTCAATTGATAAATTGAGAAAAACTAAGGTTCCATCTCCCTCAAGCAACCTTTACCTTAGATGGAATTGGTTATTCTTGTATGCCCCATTTAATCATATAGCTCTCCACATGTTTTAATAGCTATACATCCTTGGCTTTCATTTTTTTTGGTATGAGCGTTCCTTATGAAGGTATTCAAGAAAGGCGCTCCTGAGGTAAATATTTTTATTTTAGTGTTATTCTCATTTTTCTGTTATTTTTATTCCTCAATAGTTTTAGGGTATATCATTGCCAACACACAAACGTTAACAAAAGAACAATTCGTCATACTGATGCATAAACCTCATAGTATATCTTATATATTCATATTATTCTATCTGACCAATAGATGATCAAACCAACTGCTTCCATACTCCCCTGAACTTCAGTGATTGAGTTTCTTGTTGATGACTTTCACAGAATTACACAACGAATTACGGCTTTGAAAACCTTCAATGTTTTTCAGTGTCCTTTAATGATATTTTGCATATCTATTAAGACTTCATTTGTCTACCTATCGATTATTGGACAAGGTGAAATCTAATCAGGATATTGCCACTAGTCCTTCACCGTTTATCGGATACCTTAATTACCAAAATATTCTTCATACTTTTATTTTACACTTATGCGTAGGAACTATTTTGTTTTAAATACTAGTATGTACTACTTTCCAGTATGTTCTTTTTTGACCGGGCCTGATTTGGTGGTGTTACATATTACAAAGTCTATCCAAATCCAAACTATTTTTGCAAAGAATTCCGCTAAAGCCGGTGCTAGGGCCGTCTTAAACTTGCAGTGAGCTGGGAAGTTTTTTTTGCTCCGTGTTGAAGGCCTCACTGTGACTTTGAGATGAAAAACAACTATAAAAGCGCTGTTCCTTTCTTTGTTTTTTTTGGGGTTTTTGCTGTGCATGTACTGATTTTGTGTCATGGACAGATACCCCATGTCCTTTGGTTTTCTATTATATTAACAGTATAGCAATATGAATAAAAAGTGGTGTGGGGTATATGTCACTGAGACATAAACCCAACGATACAAAAGATCAAAACACATAAATTTTAGTTCAGGTTTCAAGATATGAGCAGATAAACGTGTGAGTGAAATCAGCTGGATTTATTGATTGTTGCTTGTTTTACGTCCAGTGGCAAAGAAGTTGGCTGGAATCGCAATTCTGAACGAAATAAACTAGGTTCGCCAAAAGATTAAGCATCATTGTCCTGTAATGCTAACATCAACCGTCATGCAATTCCAAATAGATTTGAAGTGGATACATGTGGTTTGCTCATGACAAAACCAGTGTAACAAAGTATCAACAAAAATATCGAACTCCAAGGTAAATTCAAATGTTAGAGTATACCAACCAACGGAATAAGTATATGGTGGGTTAAACCTGGTTTTATAGCTAGCTAAACCTCCCACTTGTAAAAGTCAAATTGAATCTAGTGGACTTACAGTTTATACATATTATTCACGAAAAAAGAAAGCAAGATGAAAAAGTAAAAAGTTCTGATGAAATGTATAGATTCATTGTAAATTTAGTGTTAAACTAGTTGTACGATTTAGTGAAAAACTTATTATTTTGTTATTTCGATCAAAAGTTTTATCGTTTGATTGCTCTCTGTGCTTCATTCTGATTCTTCAAACGATGAAAGACATGACTGGCTTCAAAAATGTTTTAACAAGTATTAATGACAATAGATAAAAATGTCACCAACTTTGTAACAACAAAAAATCTCCCGTAAAATGCTAAAAACAAAACCACATTAAACGACAACACATATATATCTATAGAAATAGAACGTATCATTTATCATATTGTTTGTACTGTTAATATTGCGCCCGAGCCTCGTTTAGGCATTTTGTGAAGTGGTAAAGTTCTTCAAAATTTTTGAAACTCTTACAAGTGTTGTTAAGAGAATCCTTATATTGACTATTCTAGTCTGCAGTTGAATATTCACTACCATACATCATAACATGTTTACAGACAGCTTATCTCTATCTATATTTATAAATCGGATTATTATCCTATATCACTTATATTTAGGTTAAAAGTACAAACTTAATACAGTTGCACAGCTATTTGAAATGACGGTAATCTCTAACATGTTCTTTGTAATGAAAATTTGAAAGCATATACCAGAACACGGCAATAAGTGCCGTCCTTGTCCTTTTATTCTTATATGATGTATATTACATCTTTCGAAGAAAAACAATTGTATATACATATACAGTAAACAGCAAATCAGTACAGTGGTGAGAGGGGCACAATATAAACTAGGGAACTAGCACTTCGGGATGAATAATCAGAATCCTGATTAAAAAGAACATCTCTCTTTATAAGTCAATAAAAGAAATTTATTGTTGGACCTGTTTCAGTTTGACATTTAACGCTTCCAAACTAATCAAACAGCAATAATACTGTTAGCAAAAACAATTGCTGTGTCGAACATTTTTTATTTGTTCTAATGACAATATAGCTTTGCTTTTGAGAAGTTACATTACTAGTACATTACAGTAATACATGCCGTAGAAGTATGCATAGAAGCGTTAACCAATATGCTAACAGCTGGCCCTCATGAATATACTAAGACATTTCAGAAAATACCAGGACCGTTTTTGCAAAGACAATAATTGTTGAGAGTTGTCTAGGTAATAAAGCTATTTTCTCCATAAACATGTAATCAAGTGTAAAACAACATAAAGGAGCAGTAAACTTGATATATTGGTTATTGTATAATATATATATCTTTTAATTTTGATTTCCAAACATCCATTATGTCTGTCTAATATGCTGTTTTGAAATAGCAACACGTGTCTATATTTCAGATGCATACTCTAGACTGGATTTCTGTCCATTATCTGGTTGGCTCAAACACCCGTGTATATTACAAGGGGGAATAAAACCAACCTGATGTATAATCGTGGAGTGCGCATGATCATTTGTGATGACTAGTATACTTTGTGATATTTAATTTCCGGTAGACATGTATTTATGTCAAGATTGTTCTAGTAACATTTGTTGTACACACTGAAATCATATATATTCTTTTTTCAAACGCGCTGGTGGACTGTTGGTACTCTCGGTACAATCTAATTAATTTATCTAAATATTGAATCACTTTTAATTTTTGCTGGTTTATGTAGACCTTTTCGATATCTATATATTTGGTTTTCCAAACATTAGGTGTAGTCCTTTCATTTTATCAGCAGCCTGGCTAAGAATCATACACACTGATTAAAAAGTGATGAACAGTAAATACCAGTCATACACAATACTTTTTGTGTTGAAATGTCTTGTAAAACATTAAAGTTTGGTCCTCTTTTTGTACACAATGTAGAGTCAAACTTGATAATTTCTGAATAGAAGAATTAAGTGTACATGTACCTAATCCATCTTATGGAATTCTTATCGTGATTCAATATACACAACAAGCATTTCGCATTGGTTTTCAAAATGATTAATATATAATTATATATATATATGCCGCGATATCAATTTTGTCAATGGTGCCAAAGCAAATTATAATATATGTTTTAATAAGATGTACAGATGTTCCGTATCGAACACAACAATAATTAATTTATCGTGTACTTTAAAAGTGCATTTTAGTGTGTCAGATAAAGTGTTTTGCTCGATATATCACGTGGTCTGTCAAGTCTCGCTTCAGGAATCGATAGCAACTGATAGTATTGCATTGTATCATTGTACAGCAGGTAGACAAGAGTCATTGCCTTTTCATTTTACCCTCTTCAATTAATGAAATGTGCAGTACTATAAGATATATTTGTAGTGTCTTTTAATTATTATCACCTATTCAAATTTTGAAATTTCATTTTAAATTTCCAAGAATTGAATATTCAATTGTAAGAATATCCCAATTTTGACGTCATTTTTTTAAAGGCAGTGCTTTAATGCCTTTCTAGTTGCCGTGTTAATATTTCTTTCCGCGATATCCAACTTATCTACGTGGGGGGTCATTTAGCTCCAAGTAGATCCGGAAAATGTTGATTCTCTCCTCTTCTTATTGTGGTATAAAATGTTTTTTGTCTCATTTCATTTACATTGGGAAATAGAGAAACGATCATTGTGTTTTGTTAGTTTTAAAAACTTTTGATATATAAGTATTTTGCATTATAAGCAGTCAACCGATTGACAAACTAGAATTATTTGAATTCCGTGGGAAAGAGCTCGGGTTAATTTCGAGTGCTATCTGCAATCTAGATGTTTATAAATCATTTCAGTCGTTGATATAATAATTAAAGGTCGACTGAACATGAATTATATTATACAATTTAAAGCGCATTTCTGTTTATGCACGTGAACCCGTCTAACGTTATTGTTATTTCGCAGTTATATAAAGTAGCAAATTATCGTTCCTGAATAGGTGGCGCCGTGGTAGCGGATCCTGTTCCTCAACTTCCGGTTCTGCACAGTGCAACTATTTCAGTTATATTTTTAATTAACGATGCCAAGTACTTGTTGTTGTGTACCTGGATGTCATTTAAGAGGAGGACATTCATTTCCAAATGACTTAAAAAGAAGGAAAAGTTGGATCAACGCCATTGCCCATACGCAGATTGGACGAGAACACGATGATATCGTGGAGTCCATCTCAATCAGCTGTTGTTTGCAAGGCACGTTTTACTGAAAAAGACTACGTGCAGGAAACTATTCATGGTAAAACTCTATTTTCTTTGTGAAATATATAGTTATATATGTAATCGCCATGCGAATAAACCAAAGTCAGTTTACAACCGCAATTATCGTTTTAGAATAAAAGGGGGTGGTTAATTCAAGACGTCATAATTTTTTGGATTACGATTCAATGTGATCTGTTTGAGATTTTTTGGTGCTTGCTACAATTATAATGATTTCTTACAAGAGGTATATCATACGGAGAATTATTTTAGCAGTAATTATGCTTATGTAGTAATGACAGGAATGCATAAGCTATGCCTCATAGACTTTCTTGAAAAATATCAATGACAATGTTAACAGGAACAAAACAATGACATGCTCTCATCTATATTATAGTTATTTAGGTACAAACAATGTATGTTTGTTGCATACGTCTCTCATTGTTTGTCCTTTGGATTTACATAACATACATTTTGATGTACATTGAATCAGGCTAACATAGTTTTATCCAGATTGTAATGAATAAATCTAGTTAATATTTTGCCAGGTTACGAGTACAAAGGAATTATAGTTATCTCGTACCATTGTAACTCGTACCAATGTCAACTCATACCACTAAACAAAAACTCGTTCCAATGCAAACTCGTACCACTGCTAACTCGTACCACGGTAAATTCATACCATTGTAAACTCGTACCAACTTATTTAAATGCATTCAAATGGTGTTTAATGATGAATATATACTTTAATTTTACTCAATACCTCTTAAGTCTGTAAAATGTATATAATTTGAAATTACAATAACCAATTTGTAGCTAATTTTCCTTGTCTAATTGGATAGAGAAAACCGTGGCAGATTGGCTTTGTTGTCTCCCTTGAATAGACTCTTTTTTAAACTTTTACTGACAACTATTTGATTTAGTTTTTAATCATTCCAAATCAGTAACATTGAATAGATTTGGGTATTTTTCTATTGTTTCTAAAAGGAATTTTATTTAATGAAAGAATTTATTGATTGTGTTTTAAAGGTTTAAAATTGTTTATGACCAACAGTTAGAAAGTATGAAATTTATTTTTATACAATATTCAGCACATTTCAGCAGAATATGACCGTGCTTATATGATTATACAAGTTGATTAGTCTGATACAACAACTAGAAGAAGAAGAAAATAAGAATAAAAATGATATATCTAATGAAAGAATAAATAAAATAAAAAATGAAATAGCAATATTAGATGATAACAAAAAAAAAGGAGTTATAATAAGATCAAGGGAGGAATATTACAATGGAGATTTAGAAAATATAGAAATTTTTGAATTAGCTGAAGAGAAAAGGGGTATAAAAAAAGAAATAAGAGAACTTTATGACAAAAATGGGATATTAAGGGAAAACAAAGAAGAAATAATAAACATTGTCAGAGACTTTTATAAAGGATTATATAGTAGCCAAAAAATAGAAAACGAAAAAATAATGGACTATTTGGAAGGGGTCAAACTAAATAAATTGGAGGAGGCGGATTGGGTTCATTTGAACCCAATTATGACAAATGAAGAATGCTTCAAAAATACAAAAGATTTTCAAAATAATAAAACACCAGGAATAGATGGTCTAGGGAAAGCATTCTATGTTGAATTTTGGGATATCATAGGTGAAGATCTGACAGAAGTCATAAATAATATATATTTAACAGGGGAAATGACGGAATCGATGAAAACTGGAATTATAACTCTCAGCTACAAGAATAAAGGAAATTTTAGAGATTTGAAACAATGGCGACCTATAAGTTTACTATGTTTTGACTACAAAATTATAACGAAGACCCTAACAAAAAAAATGGCAAAAATAATCAATCAACTAGTCGATGTAAACCAGACAGGGGCAGGGCCAAATAAAAAAATCACGGAAAACATATATGGGATAGATTCAATCATAGAACCTATGGAAATAAATGATTGGAATGGCTATCTTGTATCTTTTGACCAAGAAAAGGCATTTGATAGAGTGGAGCATAACTATACTATTCAAGTACTGAAAAAAATGAATTTCCCCCCAGGCATAATAAGGTGGATTGAGATAATTTATAAAGACATAAAGAGTACGATACAGATTAACGGTCATCTTACAAAAGAAATAAAAATAGAACGTTCAATAAGACAAGGGTGCCCTTTATCTATGACAATTTATGCATTAATTATAGAACCTTTGGCCTCAAACATTAGAAACTCGAAAGACATAAAAGGAATAAACCTGCCAAACAGGAAAGAAAAATGCGCACTATTCCAACACGCAGATGACTGCTCCACCATAACAACAGAAATTTCAGATTACGATCAATTAGTAAAAGAATTTAAAAGATTTGGCGAGGTATCGGGGTCAAAAATAAATGAATCCAAAACAGAAATATTAGAAATAGGAAGAAAAAAAACAATCTTTAATCGACAGATAAAGGATTTAATTAAGGAAAATGTTAAAGTGCTAGGGATAAAATTTGGGGAAAATAAAATGGAAAAAAACTGGAATCCAATAGTAGAAGCAATAGCAAAAACATGTAAGGAATGGGAAAACAGAAATATAGATATATACTCAAAAGTACAAATAATAAATACATATATGTTGAGCAAAGCCTGGTTTGTAGCAAGAATAATTTTACCAACTCAAGAAATAAAAAGTAGGATAAATAGAGCATTATACAAATTCATATGGAATGGTCCAGAGCTAATAAAAAGAACAACTTTGAATAAAAAGAAAAAAGAGGGGGGAATTCAAATGCCTGATTTTGAGGAAAGGATCAATGCCATGTGGCTACAACAAATTAGTGATATGATCATAGGAAAACCAACAATCTGGAAAACCCTATATACGTATTTTCTAGGGATAACAACAAGAGAATTAATGCCGGAATTAGCAGAAAATAAATATAGCCACTCAGAACAATTTGGGAAAAATTCAAAAAAATTAAAAGAAATATATATACAATACAGAAGTAAAATCAAATTAACAGAAAACATTACGTTAAAAGATATTTATTATGAAATCATTGGACAAAGGAAAAATTTAATAACAGTAGAAGAAAAAAATAAAGAAATAGAATTTACAAATATTTGGCAAAAAGTAGCTGACATCAAAAATGATATTCACAGAGAATTTATTTATAAAATAATACACAGAGCTGTATTAACGGGAGAAAAACAAATAGATAGAGGAATAAGAGGCATAGATCCAAAATGTAAATACTGTAATAGACAGCTTGAAACATATGAACATCTATTTATAGACTGTAAGGAACTAAAAATGTTTAGAACTTATGTGATACAAAATGGTCAGTCAGAAGACCCAAACTTTGAAATAAATAAAAAATCACTTCTACTGGTAGACATAAAAAAGGAACTAATGCCTATAATATATGGATATACACATGCAGTTTGGGCCTGTAGGCATTTTGGAGACACACTAAATCTGTACAAATTACAAATGAAGTACCATAAGGATAAAGAAATATACCGGAAATATAATTAAACAAAAATTAGAAAGAAATAATACCAAAGGATACAAGATAGCAAAGAAAGAAGATAAAGACAACATAAATAGCAAAAATAAAAAAATAAAATTGGATGACGGGATTGGGAGACTACTATGTTAGAGCTTAACTTTAATAGGGTTTTATACCCGTTTAGTCTCCTAATGCCCAAAATTAAAATTTAAAGTGGAAATAACCAGTCAACCAAAAAGGGAATTAAAACGGGATGGAAAAAAACGAGTAGTCAGTGTGGGTTGCGCCGCGCTATACTACATAGATATATAACAACAACAGAATCAGTTACCTACAGGGAACTAGAAAGAAACAACAATAGGAACAATAGGAAATTTATTTAAATTTAAATTGTACTTAGTTAAACCATACTTGTTAATATATTGTTTTGTTAATGATAAGATTAAAATAATCATGTTTTTTTATTGCAGAAATAAAATATCGAAAAACTTTCTCAAAATAGCACGATGATGATAAAGTGAACAAAAGCCATCTATCAATCAGTCAAAAAACTGGGCTAGATGATAGATGAGAAAATTTTTCAATTTTTCAAATTAAAATTCAGTATTATAAATAAAGTGGCTTATTTCTCCTTTTTCATTCTTCTAAGCAGTATGTAAGCACTCTTTTAGCACACTAAACCCAAATTAACATTCTCAACCACTACGGTTGTATATTGTATTAGTATTTTCAAATAAGTAAGGGACTGGCAAGTTCACACCAATCTGAGTGTTGAGAAAGGAAAAAAAAAAAAAAAAAAAAATACAAGTTGATTAGTTAAAGATAAAAAAAAACAAGTTAATTAGTTAATAATCAACCAATAATCACACAATCAAAGGAATTTAATATATTTATTAGCATGGTAATTAAGAAATTACATTTGTATTTCTGTCTAAGTTTTCATTAAAATCTGGTATAAATTTCAAAGATATTTTAATTTTTTGTATAAAGCTTAAAAAAAATAATCATAAAACATTCGTATTTTTGTCTAAGTTTTCATTAAAATCTAGTATAAAATTCAAGTAATTCAACTTTTTTTATTTAGTTTACCAAAAAAAAAATCATAAAACTCGTATTTTTGAATATATTTTTAATGGTACGAGTTTGCAGTGGTAAGAGTTCTGATTGGTACGACTTCCCAGTGGTACGAGTTTACGTTGGTACGAGTTTACAATGGTACGAGTTAACTTGCTTCTGTACAAAGTATGCATTGCTAATGGAAGTTCATTTAATCATCAAAAAACTTATGTTTTATAACCTTTTTCAGGGCACAAACCCACCATACAGAGACTTAAGTCTACTGCCAATCCCAGCCTATTTTCCTGGACCAAGCAAGAGACTGAATCGTCCGCAAAAAGAAAAATCAGGGCAGTTTCCTGTGAAAACAAAAGAACTAAACTTGATGAATATTGTAGTAGAAATCTAGAGGAAAGTTTTGATTGTAAAGTTGGTTTTCCTGAAGAGGTAATTCATACTGCAGACAGGATTTATGACTGTCCACCACCAACTGCCGAGCTAATGTTGAGCTTCACAGATGGAATTACGCAAACACCATCAATGCCTATATTTTCAGCAGAGAATTTTGAAATGAAGACACGTGACACAGCCATGCATTTTTATACCGGTTTAGAGTTGTATACTAAATTTTTATTTGTTTTGACCACACTTGGTCCAACAGCACATTGTTTGAGATACATATATTTTCAAATTGATAGGGTGTCATTTGAAAATCAGTTTTTTTATGACTTTGATGAAATTGATGCATTATACAACCAACCTTGAACTGTCTAGATTCTAGATTGAAACTAGTGTTAAGAATATTGTGTAAACATGGATTGTTTTTATGTCTAAACAGTGGCGTGAGGCTAACACTTGGCCATTTAGTGGTTTAGTCAGGTATTTTTCGCCATCCAACTTAGAATTAAAGTTTCCTACAACTTGGATTATTATTGACAGCACAGAATATCCCGTGATAAAACCTAAAGCTCCTAGAGCTCAGGCAACCTTTTCATCATATAAAAACAGAAACACTGAAAATACTTGTATGTTGGACACCTGGTGGTTTAGTCAACTATGTCTCTAATGCATATGTTGGTTGTACCAGTGACTGTGAAATAGTTGAAAGATGTAGAATAGTTCAATTATGTGATCCAGGTGACAGTGTGATGGCAGACAAAGGTTTAAATGTGCAAGATTTGTTTGCTCACTTTTTTCAAAAAAAGAAACAGAATTAGTTCCAAAACTCTTATACGGGATAGAAAAGTCTCCAATTAACACGTGCACATAGAGCTAATTATTGGACTTGTCAAAACATACAAAATTCTAATAAATCCTATGAATGGAACTGAAACAAAACTTTCATCTGAAATAACATTTAGTTGTTTTATGTTGTGTAATTTTAGAACTTGTATTGTGCCAAAGGATGCATAAATAAAAGTGACGCAATGAAGTTTGTTCTGATATATATATATAAATATTTTTTACAATTACATGCACATGTAAATTGTAATGCATATAAAAATAAGGAGATGTGGTATGATATTCAGTGAGTTTATCGAACCAAAGTGCATAAGAAATGGGTTAAGCAGTTACAGGTGTTACTGTCACCATACAATCTCCAACAATTAGAAAAACTTGTACCGTGTAAAAAATTTCAGAGATCTTACAACTAAGTTTTGTTGTCTCACCTTGACTTTGGTGAATTGTTTATATCTGTTGATGTAAATATAAAAAAGAAGATGTGGTATGATTGCCAATGAGACAACTCTCCACAAGAGACCAAATGACACAGAAATTAACAGCTATAGGTCACAGTACGGCCTTCAACAATGAGCAAAGCACATACATGTACCGCACAGTGAGCTATAAAAGGCCCCGAAATGACAATGTAAAACAATTCAAACAAGAAAACTAACGGCCTAATTTATGTACAAAAAATGAACGAATAACAAATATGCAACACATAAACAAACGACAACCACTGAATTACAGGCTCCTGACTTGGGACAGGCACATGTACATACAGAATGTGGCGGGGTTAAACATGTTCGCGGGATCCCAACCCACCCCCTTACCTGGGACAGTGGTGTAACAGTACAATATAAGAGCGAACTATAAAAATCAGTTGAAAGAGGCTTAACTCATCAGATGGATAAATACAAATACAAGTGGACGTGGCCGGGTAGTTGTACATCCAAACAACAAAAAGACACTAAGTACAGATCTGAGAGTACTCGCATTTACTGACAGCTAGTTCAAAGCCACAAACAACTGATAAAAAAATCTTGCATCTAAGACTAAATTATCAATCCGTAAGCTCTCTTTAGAATTTTATAAATTTTAGATTTTACATTTCTGAGTTATGGGGTTTTATTCATTAAAAGGGGGGGATTTTCCAGTTTTTGGACAACAACTCAAAAATGCTTTAAGCAGTTCGCATGAAACTTTGGTGAATTATTTATAGCTATTGATGTAATCTCCCTATTGATTTTCATAAATTTCAAATATGACATTGAGAAGAAATTGAACTTTATTTGTTTATAGTCTGGCAACAGATTTATTAAGTATTGCGCAACAGCACAGTGTATTGCACAACAGCAAGAAATCTTTAATTGAATGTAAATTCAATTCATATAACTGATTTCAAGTTCTTTGACTACATTTATTCAGAAACTATAATATGTCAAATATTTAATTACAATCCAAATTCAGACCTGTATCAAGCTTGAATATTGTGTCCATTTTTGCCCCAACTGTTCAGGGTTGGACCTCTGTGGGTGTATCCAGCTGCGCTCAGCGAATCATTTTATTACTTAATTAAGAACTCCTTTTTGTCGAGCCTGCGACTTTTGTCGCAGAAAGCTCGACATAGGGATAGTGATCCGGCTGCAGCGTTAGCTAACTTCTTAAAAGCTTTATATTTTAGAAGGTGGAAGGTCTGGATGCTTCATACTTTGTATATGGATGCCTCATGTTACGAAGTTTCCGTCAGTCACATGTCCAATGTCCTTGACCTCATTTTCATGGTTCAGTGACTACTTGAAAAAAAGTTAAGATTTTTTGTAATGTTGAATTCTCTCTTATTATAAGTAATAGGATAACTATATTTGGTATGTGCATACCTTGCAAGGTCCTCATGCCCGTCAGACAGTTTTCACTTGACCTCGACCTCATTTCATGGATCAGTGAACAAGGTTAAGTTTTGGTGGTCAAGTCCATATCTCAGATACTATAAGCAATAGGTCTAGTATATTCGGTGTATGGAAGGACTGTAAGGTGTACATGTCCATCTGGCAGGTGTCATCTGATCTTGACCTCATTTTCATGGTTCAGTGGTTATAGTTAAGTTTTTGTGTTTTGGTCTGTTTTTCTTATACTGTATGCAATAGGTCTACTATATTTGGTGTATGGAATGATTGTAAGGTGTACATGTCTAGCTGGCAGGTGTCATCTGACCTTGACCTCATTTTCACGGTTCAGTGGTCAAAGTTAAGTTTTTGAGTTTTGTCTTTTTTTCTAATACTATATGCAATAGTTCAACTATATTTGGTGTATGGAAATATTTTATGATCTATATGTCAGTCACGCAGGTTTTTTTTTACCTTGACCTCATCTTCAAGGTTCATTGCTCAGTTTTAAGTTTTTTGTGTTTTGGTCTGTTTTTCTTAAACTATAAGCAATAGGTCAACTATATTTGTTGTATGGAAGAATTGTTAGCTGTACATGCCTGCCTAGCATGGTTCATCTGACCTTGACCTCATTTTCTTGGTTCATTGGTCAATGTTTAGTTTACTTGGTTAATGTTAAGTTTATGTGACAGTTGTAATAAAGCTTTATATTTAGGACTATCAACATAATATCAATGATTAGTAAAGAAGGCGAGACATTTCAGCGTGTGCACTCTTGTTTCATTCATAAATTACTTTATACTTGGAAATATAATTTTGCTTGGAGTTATAGTTTCTAAAAAAAGTATTGTCATTGAATGAGTTGACATGTTGCAATGTACATTTATTCTACATAGTTCTATGGTACCAAATCAAAAGTTTATATTAAAGAAAGAAGTCAAAGGTTTCCCATCATAGTTTAGTTACATACATTTTTTTTGTACCTGAGGTCGTTGAATATAGATCATTATATAAATAAGGAGATGTGTTATGATTGCCAATGAAACAACTATCATCCATACATTGTACTTACCAGTAACAAACCACATTTACAAAGTTGAATAAAATACAGTTGATAACATTTACTTATTACTTAAAAGAAAATGCCAAACTATTTTAAACAGTATTTGACTATAAACATAGATAAAAAAGGTACAAACTGGACATAATGCACTAGTTCATAAACAAGTGAGAACAATCGCCTTCATATAGTGCTCAGAATATGACATTCATAAAACTTGTTCAATATCATTAGAGAACTCTAAATCTTAAATACTGAAAGCCACCTCTGATAAGTACAATGTACTATGCAAGATAATGATATAACTGGACTAAAAATACACACAACCTGTAATTAACTGCCTTTACAGCGCTTTCGCGCTTTGATTAATAATTAGTTTGACCTTCGGCTGAAGTAAATGTTACGTGCAATACATGCCCATGATACATGTAACACGTGCAATACATCTCCATTATGCATGTAAAACGTACAAAACTTATTCAGTATACATATCACACGAGCAATAATTCTCCATTATACATGTAACACGTGCCATTCATCTCCATTGTATATGCATCACGTGCAATACATCTACATGTCAATCGTGCAATACTTTTCCATTATACACGAAATACGTGCAACACATTTGCATTCTACACGAAACACTTGCAATACTATACATTTCAATTATACATGTAACACACTGATGCAATACTTCTCCATTATTCATGTCACACGTGCAATTCTTCTCAATCATACATGTTACAGGTGCAATACATCTCAATTATACACGAAATACGTGCATTACATTTCCATTATACATGTAACACGTCCAATTCATCGCCATTATTCATGTCACATGTGCAATTCTTCTCAATTATACATGTTACATGTGCAATACATATCAACTATACACGAAACACGTGCAATACATTTCCATTATACATGTAACACGTCCAATTCATCTGCATTATTCATGTCACACGTGCAATTCGTCTCAATTATACATGTAACACGTGCAATACTTCTCCATTATACATGTAACACACGCAATTCATCTCCATTTTACATGTCACACGTGAAATACTTCTAAATTATACTTATAACACGTGCAATACTTTTCCATTATACATGTAACACGTGCTATTCATCTCCATTATACATGTCACACGTGCAATACTTCTAAATTATACATGTAACATGTGCAATATTTTTCCATTATACATTTAACACGTGCTCATCTCCATTATACATGTTTCCCGTGCCAGTCATCTTCATTATACATGTAACACGTGCTACAGAATTCATCTCCATTATACATGTCACACGTGCAAAACATCCCCAATATACATGTAACACGTGCAATACTTCTCCCTTATACCTGTTACACGTGCAATAATCTCTATTATACATGTAACTCGTTTTATTCATCTCCATTATACATATAACAAGTGCAATACATCTCTATTATACATGTAACACGTGCAATTCATTTCCATTATACATGTAACACGTGCAGTTTATCTCCATATACACCTTTGTTGTATATACAATAGATGATTATTTCCATAAAATTTATATATAATTGATTCAGTTTAAGCTTGCTATTGCATGAAAAGTTATTTAATAGTATTAAACTATTCATCAAATTTCTGATTGTGATAAAGGTTGATATTTCTCTAAAGAAAAATTTAAAACCTTGAAACAAAATCGACTCTTCCTATTTACTATACTATATATAAAAATATTAATTTTCGCGAACCATTTAGGTCACGGAAATTCCATTTTTTGCCATCAGTAAGGAGAGTTGTACAAATAATGTGAATACACAGAACCCCGATCCAATTCATCTTTTGCTAAAAGTATTTATCATTTTCTGTTTTATATCTCCTAACATCATTCCATTTTTCTCTAATTTCGATCAAAATATGCCAAAACCTGCAGTTAAAATAGATGTATGCCCCAGGTAAACATTCCCCGATTGGTTGAAAAGCTGTGGCCTCGATCTAAAGCAACGCAAGCACACGCAAAAATTTCCGTTGATATGTTGAACTTCGACCCCTGGATTCAGCCGATTCATGATCACATAGAGATTTTCTTGCGCTCAAATGTAATTCTAAGTGAAGTATACTGGTTCATGTCAAAATATTGCCAAAAGAATTCAACTGGATTTAAGAAATGTTTTATTTTATTTATGTACCGGTATATGTATATCTGATTTAAAGGAAACTTCAACATAAACATTTTCTGAAAATCACAAGATAGTTATATGATTTGTTTTGC